TTCGTTCCTTCCTTCCTTCCTTCCTTCCTTCCTTCCTTCCTTCCTTCCTTCCTTGAGCTGCAAGCTCTCCAACATTCCTCCACCAGCTGAGTAAAGCGAGCATACAAAAAAAACATGCTACTTATACGTCGGAAAATACGGTAGTTAAAAATTGTGCACAGAAAATATGCAGATGCAGTTAGATTACAAAAAACAAAACAAGTGTATAAAACAGGAATACAATAAGTGGTTCAAGTAAAGATGAATTCAACTTTTATTATTGAACAAAACTAGTCAAACACTACAGAAAACATGCAGAACAGTGGGGTTTTCAAGGCTCTCTGAACAGAACTCAACACGGTCATGCCTGCTCCCCTCAACGTTGACATAAGACTAAATTCAAGCAGGTTACAGGAAAAAAAAAGTGACGTACGCCTCACACCAATGTGCATTTTCCATCACGCCAAGTCAGTGTTAAAATTAAACATAAAACACACAAAGTGCATGAAATGTCTATAAAATCCTTTGTGTAAAAGCGAGTAAAATCAAACGAGTTGAAGAATTACAGTGAACTACAAGCCGTGAACAAAGCACCCTACTACAAAACCTCCATTATCCACCTTTTACCGTCCAAATATCAGTTGATTTAACCAAAAATAGTAAATTGATGCCGTGATTCTCCTCTACTGTGAACTCCTGGAATCAAATGAAGAGTAATAACCAAAAATTACCAATATTAACGAGGTGCCAAGACAAAGTTGTCTTTCTTTTACCGTTGCTACTAAGTGAAATAAAACAACCGAGTGATGAGAACTAATAAGTGTCAATATGATGTAGTAGAAAAGTTAATAAAGACATTAATCAGAGGAGCATTACACCTGAACTAAAGCTAAAGAACACACCTGCAAAAAGACAACCAACTAAATTGGAGTCATCTTTGCAATCTATATACACATATAAATGTACTTCCTATGTACAGAGAGCCCTTACTGAAGATAAAAGCCCCAAACAAAGACAAAAAATTAACAGCAAAAATAAGTTAACATAATATAAGCACAAAAAATGGGCCTGAAAGACTAGTAGGGGAAAAAAAAGTGGTCCCATGTATTGGCTGGAATAATCATGGTGCTCTCCTCTTCCTGTACAATTGTCACTGTGATCTGTGTGGATTAAAAGCAGCTGACCACAGATCAACCTCATCCATCTCAGGTAAGGTGGCTGGGATCAAACTGGTAACAGTTAAAGTGGAAAGCTCATGCAGTCTGGTGTTAAAATGGCACTCAAAAAGTGAGGCAGAGAGGGGGACAAAGGGGCAAGGGCATTCTGGGAATGACCGGAAAAATGTAGGACGCTTTCAGACATCAGGATGGCACCCTGTCCGTGTTTTGACTCGAAGCCTGGATCTATGGGAGAGGAAATCATATTATAAGTCAATAAATCTTCTTTTTCCCCCCAAATGAACAGACATTTTAGGTTTGAGTTGTTAAGGAACCAATACTAGAAACAGGTTTTCCAAGAAAAGGGTATTTGCAACATTAAAGTAGACTCATCCTGACACCATTCTAACTCAAGTCAAGTGATTGAATGAATTAACCACATCAGAAGCAATAAGTATGCAGTCTTTCAAACTACAAAATACACAGTAACCTATTTATACAGTTTGGCATGCCAGCGTGGGGTTTTACCTGGCAGGAGGGCTCAGTAACCGAGAACTAGAGCACAGTCAGCATAGTCTGGACTCCACAGTCCACATAGTTCTGGAAACAGCAGAAAACAAGGAGGATGAGAATAAATTCACATGTTTCTTCAAAAACATTGCATGCTGTCAGAAAAATAAAACACTATTTAAAAAAGCACAGCATGTTCCATAAATTATCAAGTAGACAAAATTAACTATGTGCAGGTGCAGCACATTTTAAATCAGTTAAATCAGAGACCTTAGCTACACACAACATCGCCATCTAGTGGTGTTTAAGGGTATTACATGCAAAATACAGAATTTTTCGTTAACATTTATGATTAAATATTTTATCTTATTCTCCAAAAGCACATCATCACCTGATTGACAGGCCGTACTCTTTGATCCGGAGTCCAGGGAGTTGTGGTGTACTGCATATGTGGTAGAAAGGGAGACTTGTATCAAATCAATAACAAATAAACTTGAACTTGCTTTAAAAATAAGAGTGCAGGGTATAAATTGTTGAGCAGGAAGTGATACTTAGGCCAAATTAAATATGTCTGCAGGATACCGACTATAACTATTAGATATTTGTGCTTATTTAGCTACCTGATAAGTGTAAGGGTTCTGTGCATAGTTCACTGGCACCTGTGGAAGGACGAACCCTCCGAAGTTGCTGTAGGCGTACGGCTGCAAAAAGAACCACACAAGACAGAATTTACACACTTATGACCGGCTGGCAACAAGTAGGCAATAAAGTTTATGCCTGTGTGCAAAATAGCTCATGAACCACTGGATGAATTTTTATGTAACCTGCAGAAAGAAACTGATCAACTTTTGGAACCCAATTCAAGATGGCCACCACAGCCAGCTGGCCTTGAAAACAAATGGCTGTAGCTCAGTCAGTTTTACAGATAGGCTCAAATATTGTGCAGCAGTAGCTGAGAGTCATTCACAACAACAACAAAAAAACTAGTGGTGTAGGACTGCACTTAAGAATATTTTTAAAGTTTGAACAACGATTAAAAAAAGAAGCACAAAACAGAAAATTCCTGGATACATTTTGGGCATGAAAGGAGACAGATGATATGCAACCCTTCAAAATATGTTGGGCCGTTTACCTTTATAAACTGAAAATAAAATCACTGTAGCTATGTTTCTCAAGTTTACAAGAAAGGTGTCTGACAACTTTGCTGTTGGCACACGAGGTTACTTTGAACTTTTTAGTTTTCAAATTTAGTCTGCATGCAGAATGAGACAGGACCTGCTCGCCCCTGAGAGTGAGAGATACCTGATTATAGGGGCTGCCTCCACTGAGGATGGGTGAGGGTTGGGTCACCCCTCCTCCCATGGGTGTGCAACAAGCGCAGTAGATGTATTGGGTGGGACTCATCCAAGGAGCTGGTCCAACTAGACGAGATGGCGTGGAACCTGGATGGGAACAAAGAATCACTGTAAATGTCTTTCTGTTTAAACGAAGAAACAGTAAGATACAACAGAAGTGCAAACGTTCACATACGTGAGCTCCTTTCTTTCATTATTGCAGGTCCCAGCTTGAGCTTGCGGCCTTTAAAACTGATCTGTTGCTGTCATGTTGCAGCAAAAAACATTTACAAAGATTAATGCATTCAGCTGTTTCCAGTAAAAACAAACAAACAAAAAAAAACATTTTTAAAGAGACATCCACTCACCTCAATGATTGATTGAATGTTGACATCTTCGCTGAAGTACACAAACCCATAACTGGGAAAACAGAAAATTACTCAAAGTACATGAACACTGATTTATTTACAAAATACAATATAAAAAACATCTGATCAGGTTTGATCAGGGCAGCTCCGCTGTGACACTGTCACATGGAAGTAGACTGCTCCCTGCTGTGAAACAATAAGAATATTTGAGGAAAAAATGCTGTATACTGTATATTTATACATGTACATACTGTTTCTTTTATCTTCTAAGTTTATATAAGTTACATGATGTCTGTACTCTGTGAGCTCTTGAAACCAGAGTCAAACTCCTTGTTTGTGAACACAAAGGTGACCGATAAACGTGAATCTGAAACAGGTTTATAGCTTTCCTATTGACTTCACCGAACTAATCACAAGTGACAACAACTTTTATTTTCATGTTTTACCTAGAAATTTCTGCATTTTCTATGTATATTTCTTGAAATATAGAAAGAGCATTACAATACATACAAGTACACAGAGCTGGTAAAAATCTATGTCTTTAAAGATCTAATAAAGTTATAAATTATGCAGCACACACACAAACATCATGCCATCACCACAGCTCACCCTTTGCAGATCCCTCCACGATATGTGATGATTTTCACTTCCTTCACAGCTCCATATCTTGCAAAGAAGTCTTGCATTTCATTTTCATCAACCTGATGGTTAACAGAATTTATTACAAACCACAATATTAGTTTTTGTACTTTATAACCCTCAATCTAGAAGCTCTGAACTCCACTGAAACCAAAAAAAACAACAACATGAAGTAATATCAATTTTAATAACAACAAAACGGTACATTTCAGTAACTTGATCAATAAATAAAACCGTTATTATTTTAAATCTGCACCAGAAGGATCACAAGTGCAGATTCTTCAAATAGCTGAAAAGATCAGCATGTGGTGGTGATCTCAAATGTGATGTTATTAAACATTTAATTAACATAACGTTTGCTTTAATTATGTCTTTAAATTAAATATTTTATTTTTCTTAAAGGTGTGAATTTTAAATTTCATAACTTGTTTTCCTATAATCTTTTATGGTCTTTGGCATTTTTGGTTATTCCTTTACTATTTTATGTAAACAGTGTCTTCTTAGTTTTACTATACTTGTAGCTCTTTTGCTGTTATGTGTCCAGGAAAATGAACCTAGAATATCTGTATTTACTTTCATATCGTCTAGTAAATTGGCTTTTGTAAATACTAATAAACTGAATCAACTTTTGTTGTATTAGATTACAACAAAAATGTATTGGATTATAATTATTATCCCAAAATAAGAGTATTTTCACATTAGATTTGAATCTATCCATCCATTATCTTTAACCGCTTCTTCCTTTTCAGGTTGCGGGGGTCACTGGAGCTCATATCTAACAGTCACTGTGCGCGAGGCGGGGGACACCTGGACAGGTCTCCAGTCCATCACAGGGACACATAAAGACAAACAACTATTCACTCTCCCAATCACACCTAGAGACAATTTAGAGTAACCAGTCAGTCTAACATGCATGTTTTTGGTCTGTGGGAGGAAACCAGAGCAAACCCACACATGCACAGAAAGAACATGTAAACTCCACCCAGAAAGGCCCCAGGCTGGGATTTGAACCAGGGCAACCTGCTCGCTGAGAGGCAGCAGCTCTATCAACTGCACCACCGTGCTGCCCTGAATCCAACTAATTTCACCAAAATATAATTAAACTGAACAGGACTTTATGTAAAAGCATTTTACTTAAACTTGTTTGCGACAAGTGCCATAAGTTTACTTTGGTTTAACAAGATTCATATTTATTGTCATAGATCACATCCTACTTTAATATAAAGTGAACATATAACAAACAGTTTTAACCTACCTTAATGTCGATCCCACCCACAAAGAGAGCGTTGGGGGTCAGTTTGCCTTCAGGGAGAATGTACCCGTTTGATAACTTTAATGAAGGCACGGTCTGGTTCAAGTTTCTGGGCTTGTTGAAATCCTTAAACAAAATGAGAATATTTTGTTTGTATGTAAAAACAAAAATACACATTAACACAAACTTGGTCATACTGAGTGTAGTCTATCCAACTTGCTGCATTTAGGTGACCTTGAACTTGCCTGTCACAAAATGGCACATATGTGGTTGATTAATGGAAGCCAGTGTTTCCAGTACAACGAGGGCGCCAAGCCTACCGTCTTTCATCCACAACTGCACCCCACCCTTGCAAAGAAATGCTAACTACATAAACCAAACCGTTTTACAACTTTTAAAACACCCACTGAACCCCAAATTAAACAAAACTCTTACTTAAATAATGTCCAAACTTTAGCTTATGATTTCTTAAAACAAGCTAGGTGACGCCCCCCCCCCCAAAAAAAAGTTATTTTATCTTAAATTATATTCTCTCCAGCACAACCGTTCCCAAGAAGTGATACCTAACCAAACCAAACGCAGAAAATTAATCGATTGAAGAGTTATGTAACTTGTTTTGACCCATTTTATACTATAAAAATTAAATGCAGCCTTGGTCACACATGCTAATAGCATTTTCCCGTCTAGCTAACACGTGCTCCAACGCACGTTCAATAAATCTGGACTTCTTCAAAAATATGTATATAAATACAATTATTACAGGAAAGTTGTTCAGACTGAAACTTACCATATCTAAAACAATTAAAACCAATAAGTTGGCTTAGCTCTTAGCTGAAACCCTGCTCCGTTCTGCCTGACAACAGAGTGTGAGACCGCGCGCTAACGCTAAGCCCCACCCCCAAAGTCCAAGCGAGCCAACACTACCTGATCAGAGCCAAGAAACTTCTTTTTGGGATTACAGTATTTAATTTAATACAAAATATTCCTAAGATTAAAGCCCATCATTATATTCACTTTTTAATAAGTTATTTTTTGGCAGTCTACTGGGAAATAATGAATTGTCTTAACCCAACAAGAAAAACTCAATGAAAAAATGTTTTTTTGCATTGTGACTGATGACAACAATAAATGTTTTTTTTTTTAAATAACAAACCCATTACTTTTTAAAATACTGACTTCTCCCAAACAGTAATAGTTAACGTACAAAATTGCAAACAACCTCAATTCAGTTCAATTCAAAAATAGTTTATTAATCCTAAAGGGAAATTAAATGTTGTTGTAACTCGTTATCCTGGTTCATTAAAAAGTGTTATAGATACTGATGGCTGTAGGCAGGAAGGATCTCTTGTAAAGGTCCGTCCCACAGAGGATTTGAAGAAACTGGCCGCAGATGCTGTCCGATCCGTCCACCCAGACTTGGCTGGCCTCATGGTTCTTCCAGGCAGCAGGACTGCCAGAATGCCAGGCAGAACTCCTCCCAGAGCGATGACCACTCCTCGCAGCAGCTGCTGAGCTCCTCGTCGCTGCAGACAGCCTGCTGTAGGTGCCGGGGGATGATCCCTGTCCTTCTGCTGTCACGAGCCATGTTTCCTGCTGGTTTCAGGATCTCAGTGGTCAGGCACTCGAGCACAGCCGGCAGGTAGACAGGAATGCATCCACGACACCTCCTTTTCAATTCATTTGTGATTTGGGGCTGTAGTTGAGGTATTATTTGAGTTTTGAGATGTTAATCAGCTGCTCCCAGTTGTTAAAAAAAAAAAAAAACATCTTCTTGTTATGGTTAAGCATCACCAAAGGCAAATAGCCCAAACATTAGAAAAAGTAACATAAATATGGCCATTTAAAAATAAAAAAATATATATCCAGGGCATTGAATACATTTTCTTTCTTGTAATATGTGAAAATATTGCTTATTTTTATTTCAACAGTCAAAGTCAACAAAGGAAAATACAGAATCAAACAATTAAATCTTGCATTTATAAATTTTCAGGTTGTCTGTATCTGTAACAAAGTGCAATATCTCAAAATTTAGTAGACTTCTGATTGAGTGCTCTTATGCAAAACATTAATTTTTGTAATAAAAACTAAAAAAGGCAGTACAAAACATAAGAAACAGTTATATTTATTACTTCCAAATCTCAATAAACTTAATTTGTGCAGGAGTTCTTACATCTTTTAGGACAAAGATCCACATTTCTGGTGGACTGATCGAAGCAGTAGTGCTGGATTTGATTAAAGCTTGTAAAATATCCAAACACAACGAAACAGTGCCAAACATATTAAAAAATTGCATTTCCAAACTTTCCAACTCACCACACCTCATTGGTATGATTGTGCAATCACACTACTGCTTTTGGAGCATTAGATATTCACTTATGGTGAAGTGCTACAAAGCATTCCTGGTTTGTGTTCAAGCACAAGAAAACATTGCACTTCTGACATTTCCACCTTGATGCACACTTGGGGCATAGGTTGCATTGTACCCACTTGCCACAATGAAGAGGCCAGTGTTCCAATCATGGCGCACATCTGGTTGTGGTTTTAGTTGTGGGGGTCTTGGGGTGCATCCTTTTTTCTGTGAGAGGGAAGAAGTGAATGATAGTCGGCAAACTTTGGATACTGGCTTGGTTCAAGCTGTAGATGACTGCCAGGTGGAACATTTTGAGAGACATTAATTTCTGGTTGAGATGTCACAGGCCCTCCTTCAGACCAGCCAGGAATTTGCAATACACAGGTCAAGGATGTATCCAGATAGGGGAATAGACTATCTCCTAGACTTAGCTGGGGTCTTGTAGGTGTACCAGCATGTCAGAAAGATCAATTCCTTCCATATTCTCATTGCAAGCATGGGATGAGTGATGGCGGGCATGGGATAGCGATCTTTGTACTAGACTCCTTGCTCCACTGGTTGACAGCTGAAAGGGGCATGATTCTACAGGTTGCTCAGAAGGTTGACAGATTTGTTGTTAAATCTTTGTACTGCAATAACCCCTTCAGCAGACCTGTAATCATAGACTCCACAGACCTTTTTCATTAGTTCTTTGTCCATCATCAAAGGAGCTCCACCAGAACGGTTTGGTCATATGGTATCGATGCACTTGACACCCAAAGATGTGTGCAAGCTCTGGACCAAGCTGAAACTTGTAAAGAAGTTGTCACAATAGTATTTCAAATAATACTGACATTATGTTTGCATGTTTTTCTTGATTTTTATAGTATCTTAGATCAACTTACAAAGCAACAAAAGCAAGGAGTAGGAAAATTCCTTCAGCATATTCACGATGTACTAACAATTAAATAGTTATATTTACAGAAATACATCAACTAGACGGCTTGAGTAAGTTGATTTTATAGCAAGTTGTCATTTTTAATTAAATTAGTTTACATTTGCTACCCATACCATGAACTGACAAATAAACTGTTTGGTAGAGCATATTTAAAAAATTATTAAACATATAATTTGAGTTTTTGTGCTGCATCAAAGGTTATAATTTTGTTTAGTAAGGCCTTTATCACCAAAATGATAATTAAAAAAAAGTATTGATATGTTTTAAAGTTTACCCAAAATTGATATTATGCTTGATGTAAAAAAAAAAAAGGTATCCAATTTACTTCCTGGTTGGAGAAGGGAAAGACGAACCTACCATTTACTGTCACAGTGCCATCTGGTGGATCTTTTTAGCATTACATACTACAGCTGAGTGGTAAAGATGACTCAAACACCAAAAGCTTATGCTCAATAATCCAGGTACAAATCCATAAATGTTCAGTCAGGTTATCTGGAGTGTTTCTTTTTTTGTTTTTGCTGAGACATTGTCCTTCATCCGAAGGACTTCTTCAGTCCGAGGAGCTACAAACAAACTGGGGTCCCACAAATACCACACTACCATAGTGGAAAAAAAAAAAAAAAGTTTGCTGGTGATAAGATGGTTTCTGGAGCCCAACCTCTGGGCAGACTCCAGAAACCATCTTATCACCAGCAAACTGTTCTTTTTTTTTTTTTTCCCCTCTACGGGAGTGTGGTGCTTGTGGGACTCCAGTTTGTTTGTGGCTCCTTGGACTGAAGAAGTCCTTCAGAAAAAGGCTGAAAACGTCTCAGCAAAAACAACAACAACAACAAAACACGTCCAAATGGCCTGACTAAACATGGATGGCTCAAACAGTTTGAGTTAGGTTAGGCACTCCATTTGGTTGACCAGGCAGTCTTCAAGGTTCAAGGTTCTTTATTGTCATGCGCATCACATGTGGTACATGAAGTGGAACAAAATTGTGTACACAGGGTCACATCCAACAACAGCAAAAATATAAATTGTAAAAGAAACAGGATCTAAGACATAAACTAAGAAATATGTTAAATAAGCTATTTAGCTAAAGCTAAATAGTGCAAAACAATACGCCAAACAACAGCAGCACGAACATGAGTCTGTGTGAGCAGATGAGTACAAATGAACACAGCAGCATGAAATATATCAGCAGCATGAGATGCACACACACACATATATTTATTTTTTTCTTCACAGTGATAATTCTGATTATGAAATTTATAAGTCTAAAATTTTCAGGGTAAAAGCTGTTCCTCAGTCTAGTGGTTCTACACTTAATGCTCCTTAACCTCCTGCCTGAGGGGAGCAGGCAAAAAGTGTGTGTGCTGGGTGAGTGGGGTCCTTCATGATGCAGGTGTCTCTCTTCCTGCATCTGGAGGAGCAGACGTTCGCGACGGTGGGGAGACTGACTCAACAGTCTTAATCTGTGCAGCCTTCACCACTCTCTGCAAAGCTTTTCTTTCTGCAGCTGTGCAGCCTCCATGGCACACATTGATGCTGGAGCACAGGATGCTCTCCACTGCACACCTGTAGAAGGAGGTGAGGACTATTTCAGTCTTAAAAATATCCATAAAATACAAAGATGGTTTTGTTACTGATTCTGCACATAAGGTGAAGTTCAGTTTTTACTTCCTTTTAATGAACTTAACTTTACATTTGTCAGGACATTTACTAATCATTTAATGTCCAAGTTGCTTCCTTTATGCTATTCAACCTTTATTTATACAGGTTAGTCTCACTGAGCTTCGAGGACTCATTTACAAGAGAGACTAAACTAAAAATGATGACAATAGAAGACAATCTGAAAAGAAGACATATAAATGAATATTTTAAAAAAGGAAGAAAATTATATATATATATAAACGAAACAACTACATTACAAAGCAATGTAAAAAAAATCACAAATATAAATATTAAAATACATAAAACTATATCACAGTTTTGTGGAAAGCTCATATTTCCCGTAGGTATCAGAACGCAACAGTAACCGGTGTTACCATGGAAACGTCACGTGAGCTCAACTAGCACAGCGACATGTTGAACAAGTGTTTCCAACGGAGACTTTTATGTGGAACATTCCCTCCGCATAGCGTTACACAAACCGGAAGAAGGTACAGTCAGCTTTAAAAAATTTTAAAACTTCAAGTTTTTTTTTTCCTTCTGAGTAATATTTTCCTCCCCAATACTTGCTGTAAAGTTAGACAAGATAGACCGTAATGTCTGCGTTTGTGTCCCTGTCTGACCTGTTTGTCTGCTTTTTATTTCCGACTTTTTAGACGTGAATAAATAAGAGCTAAAAAAAAAAAAAAAAGCAAGGGTGTTTAGGGATATTTCGTCTTGGGGAAAATTTAGAAAACATTTGTATTCAGCTGGCGTTAAGGATAGGGGTAAACACGCAAGGAAGTGAAACTTTACATTTTGTTGTCATGGTTACAAAGTAAACGTCACAGTTCCTACAACTTCCTCCTTCTGCTGCGGACAGAGATTGATTTTTGACCACATCAATTTAAAATGTATGAAAAAAGCAGGTAAAAAAGCGAATTGATAAAAATTGTATATTTTTAAATGTAAATGGCTC